CTGATTCCACCTCCAGAAAAAATGAAGTTGCATTGATGCAGCGATGCAGAAGGGGATGGATGTAAAGAGATGCAGGGGTGAGGAGGAAGGAGATGATTTAATTTTGGATAATTYCTGATGTTAAAATTGTCCAGATCCTCTGGTTCAAGGAGTTTGTCAAGCACTGAAGAGCAGCAGAACAGCTGAAACGGGGAAAGGGGTTTTAATCTTTCAGGGTACTGCTGTGGATTCTGGAGGGCTGGGGATGGTCTTGGTTTCAGGTGGCTTTTGGCTAAATTCTTGGGAATTTAGCTCAGAAAGCATCTTTAAAAAAGATAAATCAAGAATCCTTCATTTTCAAGAGAATAAATAGAGATCCGAGTTCAGCTACAACTCCAGCAGAACCCCAAAAAATATCAGCCTAGAAAAATTACWGGCAAAAGGTAGCAGGAACACATAAAGGGAACAGAAAATACCTAAAAGGGTCTGTAAAAATGCAAAAGGGTTTATAAATGGAAATGCAAAAATCATCAGGCATCACCCCAGGCTGCACAACCCCAATTTTCCCAGCTTTTCCTCACAGCAAAGCTGCTCCATCCCTCTGCTCATCTCAGTGGCCTTGTCTGGACACAGATCCGAGTCCTTCCTGTGCTGGAGACCCCAAAAACCTCAAAGTTTTTCCCCAATTCCCTGATTTACAGTAGCTACAAAAGGGAACTCCTACAGCGAGCTGTGAGTAACTGCAATCCCACAAACGCTGAGTCAAGACAACGTGCGTAGAAACAGAATTTTATCTGAGCCCAGGGAGGATTTGGAGAACACTTTGAGCCGGACAAAATTCCGTGGAAAAAGTGTTTTACAACTGTTTGTTTATGTTTCCTCTTCTCCAGCGGCGTACACAATGTTAATCACCACGGTAATTAAGATTATTCATTATTATCCCTTCAACTTTGCTCCCTCACGCTGTTTTCTGCAAGGCCACCGAGCCCTCGCCGAGCCAGGGATGCTGAAATGAAAAACGGAGCTGGGTGTCAACCACAGAGGGTGAAAAAAAAAAAGAGCTCAGGGTGTTGCAACACCGAGTTTGGCATAAGATCAGAGCCAAGGTTTGGCYTTTTCCTTTTCACAAAATAAAGTAAGAAATCAGCAGGTGCACGATCCTGACCAGTTCCAGGTAAAGCCTCATGATCTCTCTTGATGTGTGAGGATGTTTTGTAGATAAAACCAGCTGGGATTAGAGCTGGGGAGAGAATATGAGCAGCCCAAAGAGTGTTCAAGCACAAAAAGATGCCAAGAGAAAAGGAAGAAAAGGAAAATCTTAAAAAATAGCCAATGAAAGGCTCTCCTCAGCTGGAAAATTGAGGTGGAATAAAGCTTTTCTAAGGTTTTGGACATGTTTAGACTCATTTTACTTGGTTGGGAAGTAGGTTGTTCCTTGATTTATCAAGACAAAACCAATTTTTTTTTCTAGAGGCCATCAGTGTGTGGGACTGAGAGGATCCTGYTCCTTTTACATGGAAGGAAAAGGAACTTTTCTGTCACCCAGGAGCTCACAGAGCAGCAGCTGAGGTTTGATTTGGGACCTGGCAATGTCCAGCACCGATGAAAAACCCYGAGCAGCTGCTTTTGTGGTGCTGCAGGAGTTCATCCCTCCCTTCCCTCAGTGCTGATCCCTCTGYTCTGCTCTGCACCAGCCCCAGGAGAGAAAAAATTAAAAATAATAACGTTAAAACCATCAGGGTGAATTGAGAACTCGCTCAACTGCAAAAATCACATWGTGTAAAGATAAAAAAGTATTTTAATGTCACGTTTTGGGTGTTTTTTAATGCACTGGATTAGCAGTGCTCTCCCAGTCAAGGCTCGTACTGGTTTGTACTGGGAGCAGTGGGCTGGGGATGCCATCTGCTGGCAGGGAGGGCACTGAGGGCAGGGCACAGGGTTTGGGGACAGCAGTTACACACACTCTACTACAGGGAGTAAAACCCGGCGGGCAGGGAGCGCCGCTGACTGCAGAGTTATCTAATCAGGGAGATAATAACTAATTAAACCCTGCCTAACTAAGGAACAGCTCTAACATTTCATAGGGAATGTTCCCCTATGAAACCACAGCGAGCTGAAAACACAGRTGAGACATTTTACTGCTGTTTGAATCATGAAAAATCGTCCTTTAAAGGTTTTTTATATCAGGCACTCACCTGTGACCTGGTGGCAAAGCGAGACATTTACATTTTACACAGTGAGAACGAAGTTCAGCGAGATAAAGATTCCTCAATCTGTCTGAGAACAAAACTTGGGGAAAAAAAAATGACTCATGGGATCACAGAGTGGTTTGTGTTGGAAGAAATATTAAATTAAATCTCACTCTAAACTGCACAACTGCTTCACTTCAAGTTGTTCTCTCAGGTGAATTCCTTTGAAACCATTCAAAAAAAAAAAGAAGTTTAAAGCTATTTTTCAACTTTAGGTAATTTCAACTTTAGGTGATTTCAACTTTAGGTAATTTCAACTCATATTCTGCTGTTTTTTATAAGTTAACAGAGCTGTGAACGAGTTAAGGCACCCAAATGCCCAGAAAAAAAATAAACACTGCCCCAGGGTGCTGTCCAGCCTGACCTTGGGCAATTTCAGAGATCCAGGGGCAGCCACAGCTCACAGGAAAAAATTTATTCACCCTCACTGGAAAAAATTTATTCTGTGTCCCATCCAAACCTTGTACAAAATCAAGGGCTGGAATAACATCTCTTGTTTCTGCCTTTCCCCCTGTGCAGGTGCACACAGTAACAGTGAATGGATGAAAAGGAGGGAAGTTATTTTGTTTTCTGAGCACCAATTTCCTGGCGAATTTTGCACAGAAAAGTAAAATTTTTTTTCAGAATCTGCTAAATCAGGAATATCAATACTTYCAGTTTTTATAAAGATCTGCTCCACTTATCCAGAAGAGCTGAGCATCCCCTGAGATCAGAGACACCTGGTGGAGATCAAACKGAAAAAGAAGCAAAGCACGAGTGATGCAAAGAGGACTTTGTGCCCTTTATTACTTTCTGGACTTGATGCCCCATCATCRAAACAGTCAAACTGCAACAAAAAAACGAGCAAACACGGTTCTGGTCCACGAGATCTGAACTTCAGGAGGAAAACAAAGCCACAAAGTCACATTTTACAGGCAGAAYGAAAGCAAACACTCGGAAAAATGAAGTGGGCAGAAAGCGATTGGTCAACCAGTTACAGTTTTAATAGAAAAATTTTTAGTCCAGTCATAAGCTTAATTGCTGAAATGACAATGAGTGGTGGAACTGAAATCTCCAACGAGATGATTTGGTTTCAACATCAAATTTCTGGGTGATAAATGCAGTCAGAACACACCTGTCCACAAACACCCATGGGTGCCTAAAACCAAGAGATTTCCTGAGGCATCTTTGATGTCACAGCAGCTGCACGGGGGAGTGGAGCTGATTTTTGGCTGATTTGTCTACAGAGGTGTGTCTAGAAACAAGGATTCAGTGAGGACAGTGACTGAAATACCTTCTCATTTTCTGTGGACACTCCTGGACTCTCCCATTCTGCACGTGGTGTGTTATCAAATCACATCTGCGGACGTAGATATTTGGATTTTAATGGTTTAAGTTTAGCACCAGTCAAAAGTACTAAATTCAAACCAAACCACCCTAAAAGTTGTGTAAAGAAAATACTGATAACCGTCACAATTTTCCTGAAAAAAAAAAACCTGGCAAAACCCAAAATAACTATGTACACCCATGCCAATTGTAGCTTCTCAGAAAAAAAAAATGAACTGGCATGTAAAAAAATAATAATACCTTGAAGAAYAACATTGTGAACTGTTATTCATTCTGCCAGGGAGGTACAGTAACAGCTGCTCACAAACAGAAAAGATTGAGAAAGAAAACATCTCTCCTTAGGACAAATGAAGTTAATTCTAGCAAAYTCTAGCAAAAAGGGGAAGTATTTGCCCTAAATGAACACAAAAGGCAAGCTGGAAAAAAGATGGCAACTGTATTTTTGTCTTCTTATACAGTAACTTCCAGGAAGAGGTTGGAGTGTATTATTATTATTATTATCTGGAATAATAATAATAATAATAATAATAAACTCCTGATCTTCCTCCCAAATTCCATCACCTCTAGAAGTGTTTTGGTCTTTTCATACCTAATCTAAGGCTTTATGCCTACACATGACAGCTGGGAACTTGTTGGAGGAACAGAATTTTTTTCAAAAAAAAGCAAATACTGGTCAGTTGGCAGAGGGTTTCCAGACCCTGGGGTGTCACAAGGTTGGAATTTTTGCATTTTGACTGACTGGAGCCAGAAATCCTTTTCTTTCCAGAGACATTTATTCCTGTCACCTGCTGTTCTCTAACAAACCCCTATTTTTGTTTCCAAACCCTTCACTCRAAGCTGTTCTCTCAGATGAATTCCTTTGAAACCATGCAAAAACAAAAATAAAAGCTAACGGTATTTTTCACCTTCAGATAATTTCAACTCGTGTTCTGCTGTTTTTTTTTTTATAAGTTAACAGAGCTRTGAATGAATTAAGGCACCCAAATGCCCAGAAAAAAAATAAACCAATAAATACCTTGGGCTAAATACAATGAAGTGTTCAGCAGTCATTTAAGTGCACAATCATCTCCCTAATTTGTAGCACGACGCTGCCAAATGACTTTTTTAGGGATCCTAAAATACAAATGAACTAAAAACTCTGGACAAGGCATCGACAAGACATTCCCAAGGTTCATTSTGGATTCCTGGCTCCTCAAAGTAACTGCTACTCCTAACGTTAATTAGCATTTAGCAGCAAGATCAGCRTGTTCTAAGAATGAAATAAATATCCACACAATCAATACTAATGGTTTCCAAAAGCTCAAACACATTATTGAAATCAATGAAATTCTCCAAATCTTCCTCCTGCCAATCCAAGATTGCAGAAACGAGACCCTTGGCAACRACATTCACAGCTCTCAGGACCACAGAAGCTTCTGCAAAGGAATTTGAGGCCTGAAGTTTTCGTTGTCTGTGGTGCCTGTGAGGTGTTTTACTGTGTTCGGAGCTGGTAATCTGTAAAGAGAAGAAAAAACAACAAAAAAACCCCCAATTTTAGTAATTTATCTTATTAAAAGGAGTAAAGCAGAGGAGCAAGTTGGCCCCTGGGACAATGGAAGGTGTTCCTGCCATGGCAGGGGTAACACCAGGTCCCTTCCCACCCAAACCAGCCTGGGATTCAATAATTSTACAAAATAAACTCAGATTTTTTCTTAGAACAGCCATGAGAACGGGCTCTAAAGAAATAAAGGCAGTTGTGGGCAGTCAGGCCTAAACGCCAGAAAAAAA